TCCGCCTCCTCCTCCTCCTCCTCCTCCTCCTCCTCCTCCTCCTCCTCCTGCTGGTCCTGAGGCCGCCTGGAGGGCGCGTCATGAGGCTTTTCCACGTTTTTGTTCCTCGGCGCTTGCGCCTCTGAAACCATTCCACGAACGACCTGTGAGGAGAATGGATTGTTTGGAGAGCGACAAGCCCCACCACTCCTGGCTAGCACGAATCGGCCAAGGAGCGCAAATCCTGGTCTTCTTCGGCCATGGAAATAAAAAACCCTCCCGGTTTGTCATCGTGTTCGGGCTCTCGGAAGCCTCCGCGGGCCCAGGACTGTCAGAAAACGACTCGGGGCAATGATCTCGGCACGGGGGAAAGCCCGGGAGAGGCACGGCGGTGGTGCTGAGCATCGTGTGAAGAAAGTCCAAGGAGGAACGGGTACCGAGAAGGAGGCAACTTCTGGGAGGTCTTCCTCAGGACGATTAGGAGCCACTAAGCCCGATGATGGAGCCATGGAGTCTGAATAGGCCGAGTTAGGCACGGGATCAAGCCAGATTAGGCGGGATCAGGCGGAAGTAAGCTGGATTGGGCGGGATTCGACGGGATTGAACCAAATTCGGCCTGTGTCCGACCAGGGATATACCAGCGCCGAGTCTGACTCTACCCTCAGGGGGTTGCATCCCAACTATTGGAAGGAGAAATGGAGAAGGGCAAGGAGATGAAGGCGCTAGGGGCCTGGGAGCGAGTTGTCGGGTCCCGAGGCGGGCTCCCGTTCGAGAGGGGGCCCCTATCTGACAACACGCGCACACACACACACACACACACAATAGCCCCACGGACTTCCACTCCGAGAATTCGAGGGGTCGCATGGGCATGGGTGCGAGTTGTCAGCTCATGATCGAATATCCGATCCCAGTCCCCACTGGCGTACCTGTGCTGTGTCCTGCTGGCTTCGCGGGGCTGCACCGGCCTTGCAGACGTGCTGCGGCGGATGTTGCGTGGACTTTGCCAGTGCGGAACCCCAAAACGGCGAGCGGAAAACGAAGTGAACGTCACGTGGATGTGTTGTGATCTTCACTCCTGGCCCCCCGGAAAATCCGCAGGACATTCACTTCGAAATCCGGAACGAACTTCTCCAGGAAACTCTGCGCCCATCCTCTTGTTTTCCGAACGAACCCTTCCTTTCGATGTTGGCGAAATGAAGACTCAGTCAACATCGAATGAGGAAATCGAATCGAATCGCAATCTGCGCCTGACTGGGCTGCATCGGCACCGGGCCAGCATCGAACCGGATCGGCCGCGCCGGGGTGGATGCACAGCAGCGCCATACGAGCTCCGGGCCGCCTCGGATCGACGGCACACCGGGATCGGAGCGGATCGGGCTTGCCGAAATGACTCGAATCGGCTCGATCGGATCGGCATGGACCCTGCACAGGTGGACTTCGGCCACAAGAAACATCCACACGAGAGTACTTAAGTCCCTGAAGCCGCGGGATGTTCCACGGATTCGGGGACCAGCAACCATGGCGCTGGCGCTAGATTTTGGGGCTGGGAGCCCTGGCGCTGGCACCACGAAGCTGCGGAATTTCGATGGATTCGGGACAAGGGTTATGTTGCTCCCATCCTACTTAAGGACCACATCCCAGAAATAATTTCGAGCACCCAGAGAAGTGTCGAAAGAGTATTGGAACAGTGTCGGACGAGTGTCTCCCAGGGCCCGACACGCGAAAACCCTCGCGTTTCGGCATTTGTTCTGGTGCTCGGACTTCTTTCTGGTGATCAAGGCTCAAGCAGGTTGGAACATCATAAGACGAAGGGCCAGGATTCGGGATTTCGATGGCCTCGGCGGTGGCAGTGAACACGGAGGGCCAGCAGCACCCAGGCGGCACACGAGCGGCTCCCTGCTGCGCTCCCCGACGGTGCATTCTCCGTCCCTTGGGGGCCTGCTCCTGGTAGGTGTCCGCGGTCTCGTCACACTCGGCGTGGAGCGACCCCAGGTACTTGTTGACGGCGGCGAGCTCCGTCTGGACGCCTGAGCGGTCCGACGTAGCCTCCGCCGTGGCCTTGTCAAGGTCCTTGGACTCCTTCACTTTATACTTGACGTCCTGGTCCTTGGCAGCAGTCTCGATCTCGATGTCCTTCGTTTCCTGATCGTACTCGGCCTGGGCGCTCTCTTCCGCGCCCTCGTACTCCGCGAGCCCCTTGGTGAAGTCGCTCTCGACCACCTCGAGGAGGCCGATGATTCCAGATCCACTGCCCAAGGCGGCGTCATGCGCCTTGTCGCTCTTCGCATAGTATTCCGTGAGGACACTCAGCGCCATCTTCACGCCTTTGATGCCCTGTTCCATGTCTGCTTTGTTGCTCAGGAAGTCCTCGCAGCGCGCAGGGAAGGGGCAAGGCGAAGAGGGGACGAGGGTTCCGGTGGGGGGCACCCGGTCCCTGCCTGGAGGCTCAGGCAAGACAGCTCGCGAGCGGCGGGGTGCAGTCTTCGAAACGCCGCCCACCTCTGGCCATGTCCTCAAACTTTTTGGTCTGCGGGTCGAGAGCGGGTCTCTTCAGGTGAAGAGCTAGGCGGGGCGCGCCAAGCACGAATTGGGGAGCCAGGGCGCGGGCGGGCACCGTGTCCTCAAACATGCACATGATGAGGGGATGCGCGTGGGGGGCTGGCTCACGGGGGCGGGGCAACCCCCTGAAATCGACGATGGGGCGCCGATGCGTCCGCGACATGCCAGCGATGGGGGACAGCCCGCGTTCCTGGGCAGGCTGGCGCGCCCAGGCTCACGTCGGCGGTGCGTGGGCGATGGAGGGGGTCGATGACTACCCCCTGGCCTGGAGCAGAACAGCTTGCATTACCCGGAAGAGAGCGCAACCGCTCGCCCGTGCGAAGCGGCTGACAAAATAGGAGCGTCCCGTGCAAAGAAAGCAACACAATGAAAGATCTGCAGCTTGATTCACCACTTCGCCGAAAAACGTTGAACCACACGCACTGCGCCCCCCATTCACGCACGCACCTCTGAGATCGCACCAGAACGCAACGGATGATGACGAGATGAATGCAAAAGAACATACACTGGGGACAGCACGAGAGGAACCCAGCCGAGCCGAGCTTGTGCGCAAACTCCGTGGGTTGCTTCCTGCATTCTCCGCGCGTGCACAATCAGCCCGGAGGCGAGCGGCCACGCTGGCCGGTTACCCCTGGGTCGCCCTTGCGACACTCGTGTAGGTGGCAGCTCCCCAGGGAGGCGCGAAGCCCGGTCCTGGCCATCGCGCGGGCATCCACGTCCCGTGTGCTTCTCGGTTTCGTGCGCTGATACTGCGGCACGATGATCCCGCATGCTTCTCGGCGGCCCTCGCCGAGAAAGAATGCCCACCTCCGAGCGATGCCAAGAGTCTGGATGTGCCGGAAGGACGCGAGGTCGAGCTCGGCTGCGCATAATGCCACAACTCCGCTGGACCTCCGACGAGCCCACCAAAGCGGGGACAGCAGAGGTGGCAGCCACCCAGGCAGCCGCGAGGTCTACTCCAGATTTCGTAATAAAGGGAGGGGGGTCTCATTTCGGGGGGGGGTCTCTTCCAGGCTATCTTGGAGGGCCTGGGGGGGTCTGGGGACGATGTTTTGGAGGGTTCTCCCAGGGGGGGGGGTCTAAAACTTCTCGTCTGGGAGGGTTGAGACCCCCTCCCTTTTATCACGAAATCTGGAGTAGTCAAGATGCTCATATAAAAAACAAACAAAAAGAACAACTCGTGGGGACACCCCGACTGACCATGGGGAAGGGCGACAGTGGCGCAGATGGCGGCCCCTCACGGAGCCGCGAGGTCTAAGCTGGACGTGCATGACATCGCCACTCCGCGAGACATCCCAAGGAGCCCACGGAAGGGCGACAATTGCGCAATTGTCGGCCGCCCAGTGAGCGGCGAGGTCTAGACCGGGTTTGCGTAAAGCACAACTGCGCGCACTTCCAGGGAGCCCACGAGAGTGGCGGCCCTTGCGCAGGTGGCAGCCACCCAGGGAGCCGCAAGGTCTAGTCTGGATGTGCACAAGACGCAACTCCGCTCCACCTCCCAGGAGACAGCAAAAGTGGCGACTGTTGCGGAAGTGGTGTCCCGCCAAGGAGACGCGAGGTCTAGTCTGGATGTGCGGAAGGCGTGGCTCCGCTGGACCTCGCAAGAACCACGACAGGAACGCTTTGTTTCATAGCTGGCAGCCCCCAAAGAGAAACAAGGTGGGAGATGGAAGATGGGAGGCAGCGGGGAAGAGAAGGCGGAGAGGGAGCAGGAAAAGGAAGACGCCCAGCAATGCTTCAGTCAATGCGAGGGCACAAACACCCGGACGGTTGGGAAAAAGATGCACCGACTCGCACGGCCTTGTTGAGCCGGAAAGCCCCCATGGCGCGCGCCCGCGCGCCAGGGGCTACAGGCGCCGCCCCAATGGCTCCAGCGCCGATCCAAGGAATCCGTGCGGACCTGCAGCAGTGCATGCCTGCGCCATCCTTCGCTCTGCTGAGAAGGGGGTGCAACTCCGCCAGGGGGGCTCCCCTGGCCCCTCGCGCTGGTGGCCGGTCCACGTGCACACGCAGGAGTCCACGAGTACAGCCTGGGAGCAGGGAGAGACAGAAAGTGAAATGAGCCCAGGGGCTCCAAGGGGGCGCCAGAGGAGCGTGCTCAGCGTACTGACTGCATGGGGCAGGGCCCCCCTCTCCGCAGAGCAGCTCACGCATGCCTCTCGGCTTCAGAGGCTCCGCAGAGGCCAGCACACCCCACGGGGACGTGAGCCCGTGCAACTGCGCCACTGCCGCGCCGCGCGGCATGAGCACCGCGGTGCCGCACGCCGCGCGACAGCAGCCCGGCGGAAAGCAGCGCCTTCCTGTCGGCGCCCGAGGGGAAGCGTGGAGGCCGAGAGGAGGGAGCTTCCCCGGCCGCAGCAGCGGCAGCGGCAGTCCGGCCGCGCAGGCGCCCGCGGCAGCTGGGGACGCACGACAGACGAGCTGTCCGGGCGCAGGAGGGGCACGCTGGAGGCAGGGCGGCCGCGGAGGGAGCGGAGGAGGGGGGAGAGGGAAGGGGGGGGCCGAGGGGAGGGAGCACGAGAGGGAAAGGAAGATTGGCGGCACACGAACGTCCCTGCCCTCCTCCGTGCGCCAAGGGGGTCTCCGCCAGGCGCCGCGCCGAGTCTAAAGACAAACGCGGTTCACTGCTCGCCAGGGAACTTCTAGCAGGTGGCCGGCCTGGATCCGCCCTGGGGGGCTGCGATCCACTATCTCGAGGGAAGCCTACATGTTGTGCTCGGACGTCTGCGACCTTCTCACCAGGGGGCGGGGCTTTTCGGATGCCCTCGCGCCTTCTTGAAGGGAAACTGTGACACACAAATAAATACGCACAAATAAAAGGATTCCCCATATTTTCTAATCTTTTTTTGGTTTTTGTCTTCCCCCCCACTTCCCATATTTTCCCATATTTTCTGGGGAATCGACGATTAATTGTGTCTGTGTGTTTTTCCCCCTCCAGATTTCTGCGAAGTTTTCTGTGCCTCGGGGAAGGCTTCGAACATTTCTCAAGAGGCCGGGGGGGGGCTTCCGCGCCTCCCGAGGAGGTCCGCCCCTGCTCGCTTCCCCCCCCCGGGGGCTCGCCGCCGACACAGAAGGAGGACGCACGAGAAGAGCGCCAGGGCCTTGGAGGGCCATGTCGACACGCCGCCGACCCGGCTCGGCCGGCGAAAGTTGCCAGGGATGGGCCGAAACGAAAGGATGCAAGGGTACCTTTAGGGGGCTAACAAACCTACCTCGCTTTTGACCACCCTCGCTTCCAAGAGATACCAAGCGATGCCAAACTACGGCCTGTACTGGTCGGGCCGCTTGACGAGGAGGCGCGTGGTATGACTTGGTTTTGCCTGGAAGCGAAAGCGGGGTAGGTAATTCACGCTCTGTACCTTTGGGATGTCGACCACATTTACGATGCTCGTTGACTGTAGTGTGAGCGCACGCGCGCACTACCTTGCTGATTCTGTTCAAGACAAAACACGAGCAGAAAAGGAAAGGGGTCTAGGGAAAGAGTATGTGCTTGGTCGCCACTGCCACGTCTCTCGATATCACGCGGATGATAGCGGGCAACAGGAACTGAAACGCCAGAGCTCCGTAGCCGCCGCATCCGCCGTGGCAGACTAGCAAGTGTCGGTGCCAAGAACGCTCCCCCCGCCCCGACCTGGGATGGCCTCCTGATCCCGAAGCATCTCTGCTGAAGGTCCCCAGGGGCTCCCTGGAATGGCCTCCGCCACGGCGCAGACAGCAGAAAAGCCGGATCCCCGCAGCACCGCCTGCCCGGGTCGACGGATGCTGCTGCAGTGCTGCTCGCGCGACGCCGGATCTCACTGCTTCGGCTGCTGGCCATCGCTCGGACGTCCATTCCCTGTGTTTTTGTTTGGTTTCGTGCGTGGTTCTTTCGCCAAATGATCAAGGATGCTCCTCGATGGTCTTCGCCGAAGGAAAAATGCACACGTCCGAGTGATGCCAAGGCTGCCTGGGGCGCCGTCGTGGCCACGGCCACTCCCCAGGTGACCCAGCCTCGCAGGCAAAGGCACCCACCAGCGGGAGGAACCAGGGGGATCCCCCTGAGGGTTTGGTCCCCCCCTCTCGCTCGGGACGTCCTCCAATCCCCTGGCGGTGGTCGTGGTGGTGTCGCCTGTCCTTCCCCTTCTGGAGAAGACTGCGTGATCTTGAAGCCGGAGCCGGCGGAGCAACCACGCCCAAGAGAACTGCGTGTTTCTGTTTAGGCGGGAGCCGGCCCAAAAAGCAAAACACCACGCAGCTCCCTCGAACCTCACTGCCTCGCGCCCACGGCCGAAATCCACAGGTGGTCCGACCTCGCGCCTCGCGGAGGAGGAGAAGGCTCAGGAGGAAGAGGAGGAGGAGGAGCAGCAGGAGCAGGAGCAGGAGGAGGAGGAGGAGGAGGCGGAGGAGGATGATGAGGAGGAGGATCAGGAGGAGGAGGACGAAGAAGAAGACGAAGAAGATGAAGAGGAGGAGGAGGAGGAGGAGACGGAGGCGGAGAGGGAGGAGGAGGAGGAGGGGGAGGAGGAGGAGGAGGAGGAGGAGGAGGAGGAGGGAGGAGGACGAGGAGGAGGAGGAGGAGGAGGAGGGAGGAGGAGGAGGAGGAGGAGGAGGCGCGCGATCCTCCTCGCGCCCTCGCGCTCCCGCGCCGCCCCCATCGCACGAGGGCAGCCCCACGGCCGCGACGCGCGGCACGCGAGGCGCGACCCTGGCCGTCGCTCCTCGCTCCTCGCTCCTCGCTCCTCGCTCCTCGCTCCTCGCTCCTCGACCCTCGACCCTCGATGCCGCAGCAGTCCCCCCTCGAGACTCTGGCCAGAGCGCGCCCCCGGACGGGCCTGGCCCAAGAGCGGCGGCAGGCTGAGCGCACGCCGATCGGCGGCGACCGTCGTCGGGACCCGGGCCACCGTGCTCCGAGGATCGACGACGTCGAGGATCGGCGATCGAGGATCGAGAGCAACGGCGATCGAGGACCCACGGCGCGACGAGCGCGCGCCGCGCACCGCGCCCAGCGGATGCGCGGCGCGCCGGTCGTCTTCGCGCTCTCGCGCCGCCCCCTCGAGAAGGCCCGCTCGGCGGCCCCTCGCGCCACGGCGCGCGAGGATCGCGAGGATCGTCACGCCCCTGCCGGGGATCGGCACGCACTCGGACTGCCTGCCAAGCCACCCCAGCCCAACCCGAAGACCCCCGCCTTTCGCCCGACTCCCCTCACCCCCCCCCCCTCCCCCCTCCTCCCTCCTCCCTCCTCCCTCCTCCTCCTCCTCCTCCTCCTCCTCCTCCTCCTCCTCCTCCTCCTCCTCCGATGTTGCTTCAGTGTTCCCCGACCCCCCCTCCAGCGGACATGCCAGGCATGGAGGGCAAATCGGGGCCTTCGGGTTGGGTTTGGGTGGTCTGGTGGGCGGTGACACTCTGCGAGCCGCCGAAGAGCAGTCCTCGTGCTCCTGGGCCCGCATCTTGTCCATTGCCGCCTGGGAAGCGGCCAGGTCCCCCAGAGACTTCTCCAGCGCGGCGACCTCTTCCTTCAGCTGCGCGGACCTTGCAGGCACCCGGCCGATCGTCGCCGTCCCCCTCGTGATCGTCCTCGTCGCCGCCGCCGTGATCGCCACCGTGATCGCCGCCGTCGTCGCAGCCGACGTGGTCGCCGCCATCGTCGTCGCACGGACCTCGCGGACATCTGGTCGATCGAGGTGGTGAGTTTCTCGATCTCGGAGATGCGGTTGGCCTTCTTCTCGTCAGCGTACGCGATCTCCTTGTCGCAATAGGCCTTGTGCTTGGCGTCGGCCCCGGCCTCCTTCTCGAGGCTCTCGATCATGTCCTTAACCCGCGAGCGCGCCCCCCTTGCGCGTGGAGGCGTGCTGGAATGCCACGTGCTGCTCTGCAGGGGTTCTGTTGCCCAGGAGAGCCCAGAATCGAATCGACAAATCGAATCGGCCCTCGACATGAATCGGATCCACGGGAATCCGCAGCCAGGTCGGGAAACGTCGAACCAGCAGGCAGATGGCAGGCTACTGGGCCCCCATTGGGAGATCGCATCCCACATCGGAATCCGAGGTCGAATCGAGTCGGAATCGGAATCCATCGAAACCGAATCGAAATGGAGGAATCGACATCGGCCTTAAGTCGGGCCTGTCCCCCTACAGGGGGACTTTGGACGTGAAATTAGAAGTGGTCAATAAAAATCCTAAAATCCTAAATACGCGTATTTAGGATTTTTATTGACCACTTCTAATTTTACGTCCAAAGTCCCCCTGTAGGGGGACAGGCCCAACTTGACATCATCCCTGCTGCTGCCTCCGCAGAGGAGAGCCCCCCAGCTGCCGCAGGCGAGCTGCGCGCCTCCTCCCCCCCACTTTGGAAGGGGCCCTGGGACACACAAACAAATGCACGCCAATCACTGGTTTCCCCATATGTTCCCACACCTCCTGGGCTTCTGCCTTCCCCCCCCCACTTCCCAGATTTTCGGATCTTTCCTGGGGAATCGACGGTTCACTGCGTCTGTGTGTGAATCTTCCCCTCCTGAACTTTGCCCCCTCGGGCGGCTTCCCGGCGGCCCGAGGTGGCCTCCACGACGGCCCGGGCAGGCCACCGGCGCCGCAGAGGGGTCCAGGACTTCCAAGGAGGCTTCCAAGGCGGCCCCCCGTGGCACCAAGGCGGCCCAACATGGCCGGACGGCCGCTGGGGCTTCCAATGCGGCCGGGGAAGGGTCCAAGAGGGCTGGCAGGAGGACCCGGAGCGGCCAAAAGTATAGATATTCTGGTGTGTGTGTGTGTGTGAGAATGATGCCCGGATTCTCATGTTGTCGGGCTTCCGACAGCTCCAGGCGGCCCAATAAGCTTGCGAAACGACGTCAAGCCAGCCCAAGATGGCCCCGAGATTGCAGCAACACGTGGCCTTAATATGGCCCAAGATGGCCACGGGCCCTGGACACCTCAGAGGAGCCCCAAGACGTGGCAAAGACGCGGCCCAAGGATTTCAGAGAGACGACCCCCAAGACGGCCCCCAAAAAAACCCAAGATGGGCAGCATGGCCCCAGGATGGCACAGCCCCAAGACTGCCCGATAGGGCTCCAGGACGACCCAAGAGCGCCTCAGCTCGAGCCAAGAGGGCCCCCGCAGACACGACACAGAAGAGCATGCCACGTGTCAAGACCACGAGCATGTGGCAGATGACGCCCGTGTCTGTGGGGGCTCCAAAGGTCGACACGACGCAGAGGAGTGCGCCGGCACGGTGACGGGAACATGCCGCAGGCAGCTGGATGAGGCCCTTCACCTTCGAGAACGGGTCGGCCCCGCCGGAGCTCAGCCGCATCGCCGTGGCCATCCGGGAGGCGAGCTGCGCCAGGGACTTGGAGTTCTGCTTGCGCGCAAGGTCCCTGATGAAGCGCACGGCCTCGAAGTGGGCAAGGTCGACGCTGGAGCTGAGCTTCTGGAGCAGAGAGACCTGGTTGAGACCGTAGGAGAGGGAGTCAGCAGCTCCAGTGTTGTCCACCAAGGCCTTCTTTGCCTCGGCCAAGGCCTTCAGCTCCTCGCTGCGAGACTTCACCTCCGCCTCAAACTCCTGAGCCTTGGTCACGTACCCCGTCCTCCCCCTCCTCCCTCCTCCCGCCCCCTCTCTCGTCATTCGCCTCCCTCCTCCCCCTGCCCCATCCCTGAGCCTTGGTCATGCAGTTCTGATGCAGGTCGGCCTTGGTCTTCACATCCACGCTGAGATCCTCGGACGTGCTCGAGAGGTCTCCGTCCGCCTTGGCCTTCTTCTCGCCGCTCGCCGCAATCCCCGCCTGCGGGAAAGCCAAAAAGGTACCAATACCCCTACTCCCTGGACGTGGCCCAGGGTGCGTTCTGACAAGTACTTCAAGGCGAATTTCAGCGGTGGCGACGAGAGCCCCCCGGGCAGCGCTATCAGTACTAGTACACGTTCCTCCTCCGAGCCTTGGTCTCCGCCAGCTCCTTCTCGCCGTAGGCGATCTCGTCCTCGATCGACTGCTTCAGCTGCTGGAACGCGTGCAGGTTCCCCGTCTCGGTGCCCATGGCAGCCTGAAGCTGCGCCTGGGCAAGATTTGTCAGCAACGCATCGGGACATCGGATCGAATCGGACTGTGCGTCGGGAGGTGACGACATCCGAACCCCACACCCGCCAACCATCCATGCTCCTGAATCGATGGGAGGCAGGGGTTAGTTCGGGACCAGACTTCGCAACGTGCTCGACAAATTCCGAGACCTACCCCCGCAACCCATCGAGTTGCCTTAATTGTTGATCAAAGATGGTAAGGTTCAGATTTCGCCTCCGAGTCGGAGCGAGCTGTATCGTCATAGAACTGAAATCAAATCCGATCGGACGCGCCCAGCGACGCCATGCAAGCATCGGGCCGCATCGGATCGCCAAGCTGGAATCGAATCGGATCGAACTGGCCGAGATCGGTATCGGCTCGGATCGATCGGATCACAAAATGAGCCCTGCCTGGGCCTTCTCGAGGAGGTCGGTCAGGGTCGCGACAATGCCGGCAGAGTGCCCCTCGTAGACGGCGGCCGACGGTGCGCCCATGTTGTCGCCGCCGTCCTTGGGGAAACCGAAAGGCACTAAGGCCGCTGCTCCCCAAACCTCGCCCAGGGTGCGTTCTGACCAGACTTCCGCGGCGAATCAAGCGGTGTCGACGAAGGCCTCCCAGGAGGCCCCAAGGAGGGGGACAAACGAGTGAAGGGTAGCGGTGTGGGTGCCTTCTCTTCCTCCGAGTCCTCGGAACCCTGCTGCACGAAGGAGTTCAGCCTTTCGGCGTCAGCGGCGCTGAACATGGCGGCCTTGACCATCACGGCGAGGGCGCCAGCCACGGTGCCGGCCGACTGGAGCTGCAGCATGGATGCGCCGTGCTTCTCCAGGAGGCCGATGGCCCTCTCGAGCGTGTCGATGATCTCCGTGAGTTCTGCTTTCTCCGACAGGAATTCCGCGGACTCTTTCTCGCGGATGTAAGTGCTTGCCTTCAAGTCCGCCTGGTGTGCATGCTTGAATGATGTACACAGCAACTCCATGACAGTGCACATATAGGAAATTGACTTCCTTTATTGTTTGTCTGTCCTCCTCCCTTCTAATATTATACTTCCTGCCTCTACCTCTTGTTCCTCCTATCCCTCAGCCCTTTCCTGCCCTACCTCTGGCTCCTCACCTCCACTACCTCCTCGCCCTGCCCTCCACGTCCCGGGGGCGTGGTGCCAGCGCGCTCGGGCGGCCTCCTTCTGTGGCGCTCCTCCCGTGGCGCTACATACATACAGACGTACGTACGTACGTCAAAATGTATGCATGTGTGTACACATGCATGCATGCATGCATGCATGCATGTATGCGTGCGTGTGTAGTGTGTATGAATGTATGCATGGATGCATGTGTGTATACGTGTGTGCATATATATAATGTGTATGTACGTGTGTATATATTATGTATGTACAAATGAAAACATGCATGCATGCATGTATGTATGGATGGGTGTATGGACGCATGTGTATATATATATATATGGACGCATGCATGTATGTACGTATGTACGCGTGTATGTATGTGTGTATGCGTGTTTGCCGGTATTGATGTGTGCATGTATGTATATATGTATGGATGTATGTATGTATGCATGCCTGTATGTATGTATGTATGTATGTATGTATGTATGTATGTATGTATGTACTAGAACCACGCGCGCGCTTCGCGCGCGCTTAGGTTCTGTCGAGTCACAGACCCAGGAATCGTTGTGAGAAGAAATTGGTGACGCGAAGCGTCGTGGGGGCGTCCTTGGACGTCTGGGGTCTCCTGGGGCCTCTTGAGGGGCCTCCTGGGGGCCTCCTGGCGGCCTCTTGGGGCGGAAGGCTCGAGCTTGCGGTTCGTGGTCCCCCTCTGGGCCCCCTCTTGGGCCCGTCTTGGGGCCCTCTTGGGCCATCTTGGGCGCCTCTTGGGCCGTCTTGGGGCCCTCTTGGGCTGTCCTGGGGCCCTCTTGGAAGCTTCTTGGGCCGTCTTGGGGCGGTCTTGGGCGCCTCTTGGGCCGTCCTGTAACGTCGGAAAGCCCAAAAGGCGACTTTGTTGAAAATGTACGTTTTACGAAGGGAATGGGTCAATTTTTGCGTCTAGGGGCCCTCTTGGGACGCATGTTGGAGGCTTCTTGGGGCTCTTGGGGGCGTCCTTGGACGTCTGGGGTCTCCTGGGGCCTCTTGAGGGGCCTCCTGGGGGCCTCCTGGCGGCCTCTTGGGGCGGAAGGCTCGAGCTTGCGGTTCGTGGTCCCCCTCTGGGCCCCCTCTTGGGCCCGTCTTGGGGCCCTCTTGGGCCATCTTGGGCGCCTCTTGGGCCGTCTTGGGGCCCTCTTGGGCTGTCCTGGGGCCCTCTTGGAAGCTTCTTGGGCCGTCTTGGGGCGGTCTTGGGCGCCTCTTGGGCCGTCCTGTAACGTCGGAAAGCCCAAAAGAGAACTTTGTTGAAAAATGTACGTTTTACGAAGGGAATGGGCCAATGTTTGCGTCTAGGGGCCCTCTTGGGACGCATGTTGGAGGCTTCTTGGGGCCTCTTGGGGGCGTCCTTGGACGTCTGGAGGCCATCTTCAGCATCTCGGAGCCCTCTTGGAGGCCTCTTGGAAATTTCTTGGGCCGTCTTGGGCGTTCCTGGGGCCGTCTTGTCTGACCAGGGAGGCCTCCGGCAAGCCCCGACGAGCCTCCAGAGCCCCCGGTCCCCACATTTGCGGTCGTGGTCCCGGCCCCGGGCCCCCAGACCAGGTGCGCCGTTATATGTATATGTATGTATGTATGTATGTCGGTATGTATGCTTGTATGTATGCGTATATGTGTGTATGCATGTATGTGTGTACGTATGTGTGCTTGTACGGTTGTGTGGTTGTAGGCATGCATGTGTATGTATGCATGGTTGGCTGGATGGATTGATGTATGTATGCGTGTATGTATGCGTGCATGTATGTGTGTAGGTGGGTATGCATGTGTATGCATGGATGTGTGTATGTATGTGTGTATGTATGTATGTACGTATCCACGTGGGTGTGGATATACGTAGGTATGTATGCATGTATGTGTATGCATGTATGGATGTGTGTAATAATGCATGTGTGTATGTAAGGATGTTTGCACGTACGTGTGTACATGTATATGCAAGGGTGTGTGTATGTATGTTTGTACGTGTGTATGTATGTACGTATGCATGCCTGCATACCTGTATGCATGTATGTAGGTAGGTAGGTATGTACGCGTGTGCATGCATGTGTAAATATACATGCATGTGTTCCTCTGTCGTACTGTTTCTCTCTCTCTCTCTCTTTCTCTTCATCCCCCTACCTGGAAGGAACAACAACAAACAAAGCATCGCTGGAAACTCTGCCAGCCCATCTACCTCCGCATCCTCCACCTCCACCTCCGCTGCACCCCCCCCCTCGCGCGCGGAGCCCGCCCGGTGCGAAGCCGGAGGAGAGCCCAGCGTCGATCCAAGACATCCGCCAGGACCTCAGGAAGTGTGCGCTCGTGCTGTTGTTTTCGTATTCGACGATCCTGCCTCCCCTATAAGATGTCATCGTGCTATCACAAGGGATGATTACTAAAGATGAATCGGGGATGGACAGACCCCCTTTAGTAAAACGTGGTTTAGTGAAAACGACCTGAAGCCCAAACCTGGCGGGCGCAGGCCTGGAACATGACGGCCACGGCGCCCTCTCGAAAACCGAGAACGGACAATTCACTAATCGACGTGTCACTGTTGGGAGGTCTGTCCATCCCCGACTGCCTCCCCTATATGATGTCATCGTGCTATCACAAGGGACGAATACTAAAGATCGAATGGGTTTTTTCTGGCCACGGCCAGCCATCTCGCCATCGCTCGGACGTCCACTCCCTGTGTTTTTTTGTCGGTTTCGTGCGTGCTTTTTTTTCGCCAAGTGATGGAGGATGCTGCTCCATGGTCCTCGCCGAAGGAAACATGCACACGTCCGAGCGATGCCAAGACAAGGGGTGATTACTCCAGATTTCATAATAAAAGGGAGGGGGTCTGGACCCTCCAAGACAAGCCATTTCAGACACCCCCCGTGGGAGAACCTTCCAAAACATCGTCCCCAGACCCCCCCAGGCCCTCCAAGATAGCCTGGAAGAGGCCCCCCCCGAAATGAGACCCCCTCCCTTTTATTATGAAATCTGGAGTACCAAAGACCGAAAGGGGGGCTCTTCTGGCCGCGGCCAGCCCCTGCCACGCATACGCTTCCCGACGCAGATCACAGGAGAACGGCCCCGGAGATCGGAGCCCCGCCCGAGCCCGCAGCGGTCCTGGTCCAAGCAGGTTGGCTTTCTTGAAGGGGCCCCTGGAACACACAAGTCAATACACACAGACAAAAGGGTTCCCCATAGTTTCCCCCATATGTTCTGGGTTCCTGTCTCCCCCCCCCCACTTCCCACAGTTCCCCATGATTTCCTGGGAATCGACGATTCATTGTGTCTGTGTGTTTTTTCCCTCCTGATTTATGGCCTCTGCATCCTTTGCGCCCCTGCATCCTCAGAATCCCCCCTTCCTGCCCACACCTCCCCACCTCCCAGGGGGGGAAACGCCGACCGCCTGGTCGGTGGCGATCTCGGACGCCAACTTCTCGGCCTTCGCGGTCAGCGACGCGGTCAGAGCAACCTCCTCCGAGATGGTGGCCTAGAGGAACGCAGAAGAACATGAAAAGGCATACGTACAATTGTTTGACGCTCCGCGCGGATTTCTTGGATCTGCGCTGGACGCCCCATGCCTGGCGCGCAGGGCGCGCCAGAGGCGGCGCGGGAGGCGCCGACAGGGGGGTACCAGCGCGGATCCGAGAAATCCGCGCAAAGCGCCAAAAGTGTATGTTTATGCAGTTTTTTCTTCTCCGAGGAAGAAGAAAAACGAGGCGCGGACGCGGACAATTGGATCGGGATAGACGGGATCTCTGAGATCCGTGGTTCTAGAGGATGCGCCAGGCGCCGCGGCCGTTCCAGAGCGCTGCAGAGCGCTCTGAGCGATGTGCCGGGCGCCGCGGCCGTTCCAGAGCGCTGCAGAGCGCTCTGAGCGTCCAGAAACGCAATGGAGTAATCTACTTTCGGATCCTCGGCCTGACGGAACAGAGCACTACAGGGCAGGTTTTGATACATAGGATTGTTTAGAACATATAAGATTTGAAATACATGATAAATATATGAATAGATTTATGCATGAACTCATCGATGCTTTGAATACTAGATCCCTGCATTTTTAATGCATGATCCGCACGCGGAGCATGTATAAAAAACGGCACTGTACACAGACCTGGACCACTGGGGGTCCGCGCGGATACTCTGGCTGTGCGGCGGACCCCCGCCCTGGCGCGCAGGGCGCGCAGGGGGCCGCCCCGGAGACGCCGCAAAGGGGGGTCCAGCTCGGATCAAAAAAGTCCGCGCTGACCTTCGAGCGTTCACGTGTTATGTGTCTCCACGCATGTAAACCATGGCCTTCAGCTGCGCGGACTCCATCTCTCCCGTCTTGATGTCAAACGCAAGATGCTTGCTGCGCTCCTCGCACCACTCGGAGAACTCCTCGAAGACCTTCTGCGACTTCTCTCCCTCACCGACAATCTTCCCCTGCAAGTCGGAAAGGAGCTGAAGCACCTTCCCGACCGGGCTGACCTCCTCAGCGGCCGCGAGCGGGGCCGCGAATGCAGTCGCCAGGATCAAGATCGCGGCGGCCTTCATTGCTGCAAAGGCGAACGAAAATTAGCCTAACAAGTACGTGACTGCTCTTGATCTCAGTCGCTTGAGCCGCCACGGCGACGGAGGAGGGAGAGCCCCAGCGTCCTGAGATCCGGCACCGTACCTCAAGCCACGAATTGGGCTGTCCTCAGGCCCCTCCGGGAGATCTCTGGACTCAGCCTTGGAAGTAAATGAAACGCAGGAGGACATACTCGTACTGTGCATCACCCTGAGCGTGCGTCCGACCAGGAAAAGTACTCGGGAGCGGCCAAGAGGGGGGTGTCCAAGAGGCCAAGAGGGGGGGGTGCAAATCATGACTGGCGGCATGTGCGCGGCCCAGCGGGAGGGGCCAGGGACGTAATGGAATAAGAAGAGGCGCCATGAAATCTGGGGACATATCATGGCCCCCGCCATGATATCCCCCCCCCCCCCTAGTCATCACCCCCCTCTCTGCCGCCCCCGAAGTACAGCAACACGATCGCACAGCGTTGCGCCGGAGGCATGGCCAGACGCGCCCGCCGCCGAGCACATGGCGCAAGAGTTCCGAGCGCGCGCGCGCGCGCGCGCGACGCCCATGGGGGGGCGACGCACACACAGGGCCTCGGACAGCCTGTCTGCAAGAGTGTCCTGCTGCTCCTGGGAAACCGCGGAGGGGCGGACCCGGACCCGGACTCGGTCGGGGACGGCGGCGGCACGCCTCACGCTGCCTCGTGTTGCCTGCCGGCGTCCCACGCCGTCTCTGTATCCTGGTCGCTATCCCGAGCCCCCTGTCCCTATCCCAAATCCTCTATCCTTATCCTATGTGTATCTATATATATATATATATATATAAGTAAATACATATATATGTGTGCATATATATATACATATATATATGTATATGTATATATGTACGTGGGTGTGTGCATCCCCATCTCCATCAGTATCCGTATCCCTGCATCCCTACCCCTATGACCCTAGCGCGATCTGCCTACCCAAACCCAGATCCCTTTGGTATTTGGATGGGTCTTCGCATGCGCCATGTGTAGCACCCGGAAGTTGCGGATAACAGTGAAGGAGGCGGGCGCGAGGTGGGTCGCAGATTGGGTCGCGGGATGGGACGCGGGGTGGGTCGCGGGGTGGGTCGCGGGGTGGGTCGCGGGGTGGGTCGCGGGCGAGGGCGACAGCAACGCAACAGCAATCCTCACCGCGGAAACTCGCTTCAGATACGCCCCCAGGGACGGTGAATGGCCGTTCGGCCCCCTCACTCTGATTTCTCCGGTCAGTAGTAGTTCTGTTAGTACTAGTCCCGTAACAAAACTGTCAGCAAGGGCTTATACATATCAGAGCGAGGGGGCCGAACGGTCATTCGTTGTCCCTGGGTGCGTGGCTGAATAAGGAATTCGTGGTGAGGATTCTGCTTTTTGCGTTGTTGTTGTCGTTGTTGTTGTTGTTGATGATGTTGTTGTTTTTGTTGTTTGTTGTCGTCGTCCCACCCGCGACCCACTCGCGACCCGCGACCCACCCCGCGACACACACCGCGACCCACCCCGCGACCCACCCCGCGACCCACCCCGCGACCCAACCCGCGACCCAACCCCCGACCCACCCGCGACCCACCCCGCGACCCACCCCGCGACCCAACCCGCGAACCAACCCCCGACCCACCCGTGACCCACCGGCAACCCACCCCGCGACCCAACCCGCGATCCACTCTCAAGTGAGGAAAAACCTCCCGGACCCAACATTTGAATTTTACTAAAATGGCCCTGGGTGTTGACTACAGAGCCCTGCCCTGTTCGATTAATTCCTTGCGTGCGCTTACTAAACGGCTTCGCTTATCGGGGCGACTATTATGGGGTGGATCCACTCTGCTGACCTTGAAGTAGTCATCTCCACTGCTCGCGCAAACATCCCACCCACCCACCCGCAACTTGGTTTGCAAAACCTGTTAAGACCGACTACGACGACACCGACGACAACGACTAGGACGACACCGACGTCTCCGACGACTTCGACGACGACAACGACGCCGACGCCGACGACGACGAAGACGACGACGACGACGCCAACGAAGGCGACGACGAGGGAGGAGGAAGGACGACGACGGCGACAACGACGACAACGACGACAACGACGAGGGAGGAGGGAGGACGGCGACGACGCGAACGACGACGAAGGACGAAGGACGGCGACGCCGACGACGACAACGACGAGGGAGGAGGGAAGACGACGACGACAACGACGACGACGACGGCGACGAAATAGGAGGGACGACGACGAGACGACGACGACGACGACGACGGACGACGACGACGACGTGGGAGGAGGAAGAAGGACGACCACGGCGACAACGACGACGGAAACAACCACGACGCCAAAGAGGACGACGACGACGAACACGAGAAAAGACAGAGGACGACGTAGGCGACGACGACGACGACGACGACGCGGGAGGAGGGAGGAGGGAGGACGGCGACGACGACGACGACGACGACGACGACGCAAGAGCGCGCGCGCACGCTTTTGTTGAAAACCCGTGTTGCGAAACCCTGGGTTTACGTAAGTCTTTTGGGCGCACGATTTTGAAATCCTTCCGAAACCGATGGGTTTTGAAGGTTTTCGGCATACGCCCGCGACGACGCGCGCGTCTGCACTTCGTCCCATTTCTTGCAGAGGATTATCGCGACGGCACACGCGCAAGGGCGTTCGACAGATTTCGACAGTCGCGCGCGCGAACCCGTTTGGTAGCATTTTGTGAGAATATTGAAAAACCGATGGTTGTCTTAAGATTTCACAAGAGTTCGCGCGGAAGCGTTTTATGCAAGTCAGTGTGGTTTGGAAACTCGATTGCGAAATCCTTCAGGCACCGAAAGTGTTTGAAGGATTTCGGCATGCGCGCGCGACGACGCGCGCGTGCGCATTTCGTCCCACTTGTGCAAGGGATTCGCAGACAAAAATGCTATTATAGAACACAAAATGTCACCGCATATTGTTTATATATATATTGTTTATTTTTCTGTTTCTTTTTTTTTACACAAAAAAAAAACAAAAAAAACTCGGGGGGGGAACCCGGTTCGGCTGGGATGATACGACTTCATAATTAGGATGGACGGGTGTGCAGAATATGAACGAAATCATATTATCCCAGGGGGAGGCGATAAGTCCGGGAGGGGGGGTAGAGTCGATTCTCTTTTTAGGAGGGAGAATGCTCTGCCATCTACAACAACGACCCACCCGCGACCCACCCGTGACCCACCCGCGACCTACCCCGCGACCCACCCGCGACCCACCCGCGACCCACCCGCGACCCACCCGCCACCTACCCACATTGGCTTAGCGAAGAAATCGGCGCCTGCGGCGGGCTCGTTTTCATAATTTGCGAAACGTTGACGCCTGCGGCGGGCTTCTCCAGAGTCTGGCAAACTGCCGACGTCCCCACCGCCCTCTGACTCTTATCCGCAACTGCGTGGTGCCACGTGTATATATATATATACATAAACAAATATACACACATACACCTATATATATATAAATATATATATATAGAGATATATATATATATACACACATCAATATATGTATCCCTATATATATATATAAGTCTTATATAGTGGCGCTCCACATGCGGAATCGGTCGGGCGCCTTGCTCTCTCGCATGGTCTCACGTGCGGCCCCCCGCACCGTCTCCCGTAGGGTCTTCCGTGCAATCTCCTGTGAGGTCTCCCGTATGGTCTCTCGGATGGTCCCGCGCACGGGCGTGCCGCATGGCTTCCGGGATGGTCGCCCGCATGATCTCTCGTGTGGTCTCCCGCGTGGTCCCCCGCAATGGTCTCCCATGTGGCCGCCCGCGAGGCAACCCGTAGGGCCTTCCGCGCGCACAACACAATCTGAGGCCAGGTTGGCTAAGTTGTTATGCTGTGTAGGGCCTCCTGCTGCCAGGGGGGAGGATGAGCATGTCTGGGCGATGCCGAGAATGCTCTTCAAGGATCCTCAATCGGGCGCTCCTAAAGTGTGGCGCGTGCCTTTTGGGGCTTCACGACGACGACGACGACGACGACGACGACGACGACGACGACGACGACGACGACGACGACGACGACGACAACATCTTCGGGGGGGCGCCCCTGAAGAAAGCGGCCCTCCACATGGCCAGCTTTGAAAATTGCGGAACAGACAGTCACCCCCTCTGTCGGCGACTAGAGGAACAAAAAGCAACATAAGCATGCGTTCGCAAGGGCCCGCGTGGATTTCCTGGATCGGCGCTGGGCCCCCCTCACTGACGCGGGGAGCGCGAAAGGGGTGGCGCCAGAGGCGACGCCAGGGGGGCCCAGCGCCGATATAAGGAATCGGAGCGGAACTTCGAGAGCATGTTTTTATGTCGCTCCGCTCCTTCCACTGACAATCGGCGGCGGGCCCGGGGGGGAAAGCGCGAGGGGGCGAGCCTTCGCGGAAGGCGGCGGGGCTTCTCAGAAGCCCCCTGGCCTTTTGAGAAGCGGCGCCCGTCGTCGGAGACAGCTTGCGTAGAAGACTTCTCGGACGGCCGGACGCCTGCCGAGGACGCCTGCCGAGCCTCGTGGAGAAGGCCCGCCCCCGCACCCCCAGAACGCCCCCGGCGAGGCGCAGCCGCTGGAACGCGCGCCGGGGCCGGAAGACCGCCGAGGACCGGCGAAGACGCCCGGGCACCTCGAACTGCTATAACTTCCCCGCAGGCTCGCCGCCGAGAAGAAGAAGACCGCGGGGCGGCTGAAAACCGAAAACTGCGGGGCGGCTGCCCAGGCCGGCTCGGGAGGAGGGAGGAGGAGGGAGGAGGAGGGAGGAGGTGGAGGAGGAGGGAGGAGGGGAGGAGGAGGGAAGAGGAGGGGGAGGAGGGAGGAGAGGGAGGCGGGAGGGGAGGCCCGAACGAAGAGCGGCGGCGAGCCCAGGGCAAGCGCGAGGGGGCGGGCCTCCACACGGGAGCGGCGGGGCTCTCCGAAGCCCTTAGGCCTCGAAAACTTCGCACTCTCCCCCGGGCCTGCCGCCGAGAGAGGAGGGGGAGGAGGAGGGGTAGGGGGAGGAGGAGGAGGAGGAGGAGGAGGAGGAGGAGGAGAGGAGGAGGAGGAGGAGGAGGAGGAGGAGGAGGAGGAGGAGGGAGGCCCGACTGAAGAGCGGCGACGAGCCCAGGGGGCAAGCGCGAGGGGGCGGGCCTCCACACGGGAGGCGGCGGGGCTTCTCCGAAGCCCTCTGGCCTCGAACTTCGCACTTCTCCCCCGGGCTCGCCGCCGAGAGAGGAGGGGGAGGGGGAGGAGGAGGAGGAGGGGGAGGAGGAGGGAGGAGGAGAGGAGGAGGAGGAGGAGGGGAGGAGGGGAGGAGGAGGGAGGAGAGGGAGGCCCGACTGACGAGCGGCGGACGAGCCCATGGGGGCAAAGCGCGATGGGGGCGGGCCTCACCAGGGAGGCGGCGGGGCTTATCCCGAAAGCCCTCTGCTCGAACTTCGTCATTCTCCCCGGGCTCGCCGCCGAGAGGGAGGGGGAGGGGGAGGAGGAGTGAGGAGGATTTTTATTATCGGGTGAGGAGGAGGAGGAGGAGGAGGAGAGGAGGGAGGAGGAGGAGGAGGCGGAGGAGGAGGAGGGGAGGAGGAGGGAGGAGGAAGAGCAGACCGGCTCTCCACGAGGCCGGCCCTGAAAACTGCGGGGCGGCTGCCCCGGCCGGCTCCGCGGCGGGCCCGGCAGGAGAAGGGCGCGGGCTGTACTGGCGCGAGCCTCCGGCCAGGCCGCTGGAAAGGCACCCGTCGGAGCGAAGGCCCCCGCCAACGAAAAAAAAAGAAGAGCGCGCGGGCCGCAGCACGTAGGAAGGCTCCTCCTCCTCCTCCTCCTCCTCCTCCCTCCTCCTCCCTCCTAACTCCTCCTCCTCCTCCTCCTCCTCCTCCTCCTCCTCCTCCTCCTCCTCCTCCTCCTGCCTCCTCCTCCTCCTCCTGGCGCCGCCAGGCCCTCCTGGGCGTTACTGGAGCGCGTCGCGCGGGCCTGGGACGGTGCCCCCGCCCTACAGGGCCCAAACATTGGCGCAGAGGGCCCCCAGAAAAGGCCCCACGAGGGAGGAGTAGGTAGAAACATGAAGTAGGAATGCGGACAAAGTAGATTGGGCTCGGGGCCGCCAAAGTGACAACAACACAAAACATACACCATCGTAGGAAGGCGCTTGAAGCAGATTGAGGTCTGGAAACCCAGGAATGCCTACCTCCAACGACTGGCGTGTACAGTCGAGCCTGATCAGCAGGTCGACCCTCCCAAGCTTGAGGCAGCTCGTTGCCATCGCTCGGACTCCAATTCCCCGTGCACTGTTCGGTTACGTGCGCGTCTTCTATTTCTCAGGATGGTCCACGATGCTCCAAGATGGCCCAGATCTCCTGGCGATGGCCTCGCCGAAGAAGGCGCACGTGTCCGAGCGTTTCCAAGACCCTTGGTTTATATCGGGCATGTCCCCCTACAGGCGGAGTTTGAGCGACATAAGCAATAACACACATACGAAAGCTAAAAAAAAAACAAATCTTCAAAACTTCGTCCCAAGACTGTGGTTTGACTATTTTGGAATATGCCTCTTGTAGAGGGACGTGCCCGACCTAAGCCAAGACCCTTGCTGCCCTGTGCATGGCGCGCGCTGCCCCCTTGCACTCCAGGGGCACGGGGTGCTCTTGCGCCCTTCGCCCTCTTCTGGGGGGTCGCGCTACCCTCCGAGGGGTCTCACGTTGGGTCGGGCATGTCCTCCCATGGGCGAATTATGCACGCACAACAAGAGATAGTCAAACACATGTTCAAAGCATATACACGAAGGGTCGTCCCAAGGCAATTTTTTGCTGACTATTTCTGAACATCCCTCCTGTAGAGGGGCATGCCCGACCTACGTCTCACGCCCTCTCGCGCGCCTCCCCTCCAATCGGGCCCGACTGCAGGCGAAGAAGGATCACAGGGAGCAAAGCTCTCGGAAGCCCGCACGGATCTTCTTGGATCGACGCCTCCAGAAAAGCTGGGCGACGCTCAACGGGGGGGGGGGGCGGTAAATGGGAGGGAGGGGGACGAAGACTGCACTTCTCGGACCCAAACAGGGCCCCTGGGGCCCCCCATGTGGGAGGGCCCCAAAGGGCCCCTTTTGGGGGGGCCCCAAGGGGCCCTTTTCCTGCGGCCCCCGCGGCTCCCCGGGCCCATCGCCCCCTCTCCGTGCGCGGCGCCCCAAAACGCGCACCACGAGGCGGCGCCTCGGGGCGGCGCCGTGGCACCGCCAGGGGGGGCGGGGGGGCGCAGGGAGATCTCCTGGACATCGGCGCGGAGATCGATGGCTCCAAGATGGGGCCCTTCGGAATGGGGACCTGAGGAGAGGAGGGCTCCGAGTTTGGATCTTCGCTGTGTGGAGCGCGTCGTCCTCAGGACCGCAGCCCTCGGGACCTCATCTTTGACCCGCCGAGGAGATCTCATTTTGGAGCGGCCCCCCATGGCGCGCTCCGGAGGCGCCATGGCAGGAGAGGGGGGTGGGGCGGCGCCGATCCGAGAAATCCGCGAGGACTTCAAAAAGCTCACTTGCACTAGACGAGCGCATCCCACTGCTCGCAGAGTAACTGCTCGCAAATGGCCCGGATCCGCCGCGGGGGGATCTACGATCTATTACATCCAGGCGGAACATCCGGGGCCGCCATTGCGAGACGCGGCGCTTGTCGTGTCGGCGAGTAGTGGAAACGCGCTCGTTGAGTGTACAGTCGGACATTGCACAGTTACACATCCTTTAAGAACATGAGACCATCCACGGCCAAAGCGAAAGAACCTTTCGAGAGTGACCTACCCCACGATTGTGCAAGAGCATCCAACAAACAGGAAGAAAATCAGGGTATACCCTCCCGAGCCGACATCGGCATGATGCCTGGCTCGACCGTGTGACTCTCTGATCATCCTCGCCTGGCCGGACGTCTCTCAATCAGAGCCCGTTCTCGAGGAAATCGCGATCCTGCGCCGGGAACGACAGTGGAAGCGGCTCTGGGATGGGGAGCATCGAGCTTCGCATCGGCGATGCATCGCCGACAGATCGGCGATGGGGCCCCGACAGCGGGACACACGCTCCCAGGCGGGGGGCGCGCGAACCCGACGGGCGATAAGTGGGCGAAATGGACGATGCGTCCCCCTTCAATCTCCTCCTCCCCCATTGCCTACTCATCCTCCTCGACTCCCTCCTCCTCCTCTCCTCCTCATCCCCGACAACTCCACTCCTCCTCATTCATACATTCACCGCACCATTCATCCTCCTCCTACTCCCTCCTCCTCCTCCTCCTCCTCCTCCTCCTCCCTCCGCCCCCGATCCGGGGTCAAGAATCGATCCGGGGTCTCCTGGGTCTCCAGCGGTGCGCCCCGACTGGAATCTCGGAGCGGTCCTCCCTCCGCCCCCGATCCGGGGTCAAGAATCGATCCGGGGTCTCCTGGGTCTCCAGCGGTGCGCCCTGGCTGGAATCTCGAAGCGGATCCACCCGCGGCCACGACCGCCGCCCCGGGCGGCCTCGAACCTCCAGGGGACGAGCCTCGACCCTCGGACCTCGGACCTCTGAGCCCGATCGCTTCACCATGCGATCCAATACTGCATAAACACCAAAGGAAAAAAAACACAACTACACCTGAGAAAACCCCGATCAGTGGATGGTGGGGAAATCAGTCATACGGATCCTGAGATCGATTGTGGGATCGATCGTGAGATCGAAAGTAGAATCGAGAGTTGACCATTGTAAGGTCGATCGGTGGGGAGATCGATCGCGAGATCGCTCGTGCGATCTCTAGTGAGATCGCTTGCGAGATCGATTGTGAGATGGATTGTGAGATCGATGGTGAGATCGATAGAGAGGTGGGACATGAGATCGACGCTGAGAACGATTGATAAGAAGATCGACCAAGAACCCGGGAACCTGGGAACCTCGCCGCCCACCGAAATCGGCCCGGGAACCGGGAACCTGGGAACTGGGAACCGGGAACCCGGGAACCAGGCCTGCCACCAAAACAGGCGTGAAACATTCGCCTTCTCTTTCAATATCCGCTTGGACCACTTCAGTGCAAGCACTGATTGGGGAATA